AGTGGTCGTGTGAGGGCCCCTCCACAAACCACTTCTTCAAGACAGAGTTCATGCGCTGGGAGAGAAACTTTACTTGCCAACTCCGTACACACTTCTCCAGCAAGTTTCTGCGGTCCTACCTGTTCCAAGCACCAAATAAAATAAATGTTATAATAAGAATCATTAACTGTTTTTTTAAAGAGAAACAATTTTTGTGAAAACTGATAAATGTTTGATTGAAGCTTCAAGTAAAATGTGAATTATATTTGGTTGATACAAACCGAAATAAATGCGTTCTACACCTTGCAGTGCGGACATGTCAACATAAAATCCCATTAAAATCCGAATAAAGTGGAAACATCTTAGGAAGAGGTAGATGAACATACAAAACTGTGGTTGGCAAGCAGATTAACGTACAACAAACTGACGTCTCTGTTTCGTATTAGATTACGCCATATACCCAATTCAAACAACACAACTTACACTGCATGGAGGTGCCTGCAACTACACACATCTCGTCATCTGCATCATGACTGGTTATGGGTTATGACCTGGACAGATGAGGTTTGATTTCCAACAGGAGTAAGGATAATTGTCTTCAGGCAAAATAATGAGACTGGCTCTGGAGCTAAGAAGTAAAGTAGCCACAGCAGAAAGCTGCCTGCCTCCATCTACTCCCAAGATCTAGATCGAGCTTTAAAATCACATCCCCTCCGAATGTCTAGCTTTAAACACGGGGTTAGCATTTCCTTTATCTTCAGCGCTATTTTCACGCTTACCGTTATGTTAACACAGTTGGTACTGTCTTTATGTTCAAGATGTACCCAAATCTTCAGATCACCAGATGGCTTATTCTGAGGGGTGGTGCTGTTTGCAGAGTGATACCGCTCCAGTACCTCTTGCATTCGTTTCTCACGTGATAATTCAGCTGCGTCGACTTCGAAGATTTTGGAATACAGCAGGATCAAATCTGACACCACTCTCGACTCCAATTTGGCCCAACTTAAGTTGTCACCCTAGAAATTCAAACAGACGAGCATAAAATGCACATCGATAAACAATTTTGTGCAACCCATAACAGACGCAATGGTCTTTTATTAATTTATAATCTCAGTGAAATAGACTGTAAAGGTATGTTCTAGATTATACTAATTCAGGGCAAAGTGCAGTGGCAGACTCTTGTGAACACAATTATGAACTTTAGGGCAACAACACAGACAGTGCATTTACGATCAGCCGCACGACTATTAGTTCTCATTAAGAACTCAGCTCCATGGGGTTCATACCTGTATTTTCCACAGCATTACAACACACATATTCATACAAGCTGCAGAATGTGAAACCCTACTGCTTTGCGGCATGATAAATTTATTCAAAAGCTGATAATCTGCCTGGTTTCTCCACTTCCTTGAACATGCACTTATCTCTCTGGCAAAAATGCACTGCGTCGTGAGCATGCCACTAATAACTGAAAGTACGACTACAAAAGAATAAAGAGTTTCAAGAATATATTCTTATAAGTTTAAGTACTGTAATTTCTACATGAAATGGCTACTTCAAAATCCGATAATAAAACCACAATTGCACGGTCTTTCTTGAGTCATACTTCAAATAGCAAGAACAAAACCATAATTAAGTCTATGGTACGAAGTCTTTCTTGAGTAGTTTGTATTTTTACATATTCAACGTATCACTTCTTATCCTTCGTCTCTGATGAAATAAAATTGTCATGAAGTGAGGAATACCAGGTCCTTCACGTGGGACAAAGTTCAAGGCAGCAGGTACCATGGTGAAACATCATGTCTGAAGTCATCCTATCATCTGAAGTAAAAGGGCCCTGCCCTAAGGATACCCCCAATGCCAAAGAAAGGTCAAAAACCATACTTGTCGGCATTTGGAATTAATATAGATGAGAATACGAACAAAAACATTGTAAATATTTCTCTTGATGTCGCTATATTTGTATTTTAATAGGGCAGGAACCTGAAATAAAAAAATCGAATATTAACATAAACTATTTCAATACCTCGATGTGCATGAGGGTTGGACCCCAAATAGCTGCCAAGTTCTCCACTGGCATACGATTTTTCTCATGCTGTTCATGGATGAAGTGCAGGTGGCTAATAAGTTTGCGTGTTGTCAGATAGTTAATAGGTGGCAGCTGTTCCAATGCGCGACGATACGGTACCGTTTTATCCGAGCCCCTCTTTCCAGCTAAAACATGAAGTGCAAGATGTTCTGAGACTAGAGTGGAGTAAAGGTACAGTTACCTCTTCTGACACTGTTCATTCTCCTGGCAAGGCTGAGGAAAATCCTGAAAAAAACTTAGTCAAATAGCCAATAGTCCACCAAAGACATAAAATTGGTAATTTCTGAATATTAGTCTACAGCAACCTTCTCAGTCTGAAGGCACAGAAATCTAGACTTTGAAAATTGATACAGCATCAAATTATGGCTGATTTATCTTTGCTTCCTGCCCCTGAGGACTAGAGATTAACGTGATACCTCCCATCAGGGTCCCTGATGGATGTCATAAGGATAACAGATTTCCCGACAGTGAGAAACACCAATGGGTCACAGAAATATATTGCTGTATATCTGAGCTTACCTGCAGTTTTTTCTATAAAATTATCTGTCATTTGAAGATTTCTGTCTTCTGGGTTGTGGCGCTGTGTAGTCTGGTCGATGTTTACCGTTTCAGAGGTCATGCTGCCTCCGTCATCAGGGCGATGAAGATTTCTGTCTTCTGAGTTGTTGCGCTGTGAAGTCTGGTCGATGTTTACCGTTTCAGAGGTCATGCTGCCTCCGTCATCAGGGCGATGAAGATTTCTGTCTTCTGAGTTGTTGCGCTGTGAAGTCTGGTCGATGTTTACCGTTTCAGAGGTCATGCTGCCTCCGTCATCAGGGCGATGAAGATTTCTGTCTTCTGAGTTGTTGCGCTGTGAAGTCTGGTCGATGTTTACCGTTTCAGAGGTCATGCTGCCTCCGTCATCAGGGCGATGAAGATTTCTGTCTTCTGAGTTGTTGCGCTGTGAAGTCTGGTCGATGTTTACCGTTTCAGAGGTCATGCTGCCTCCGTCATCAGGGCGATGAAGATTTCTGTCTTCTGAGTTGTTGCGCTGTGAAGTCTGGTCGATGTTTACCGTTTCAGAGGTCATGCTGCCTCCGTCATCAGGGCGATGAAGATTTCTGTCTTCTGAGTTGTTGCGCTGTGAAGTCTGGTCGATGTTTACCGTTTCAGAGGTCATGCTGCCTCCGTCATCAGGGCGATGAAGATTTCTGTCTTCTGAGTTGTTGCGCTGTGAAGTCTGGTCGATGTTTACCGTTTCAGAGGTCATGCTGCCTCCGTCATCAGGGCGATGAAGATTTCTGTCTTCTGAGTTGTTGCGCTGTGAAGTCTGGTCGATGTTTACCGTTTCAGAGGTCATGCTGCCTCCGTCATCAGGGCGATGAAGATTTCTGTCTTCTGAGTTGTTGCGCTGTGAAGTCTGGTCGATGTTTACCGTTTCAGAGGTCATGCTGCCTCCGTCATCAGGGCGATGAAGATTTCTGTCTTCTGAGTTGTTGCGCTGTGAAGTCTGGTCGATGTTTACCGTTTCAGAGGTCATGCTGCCTCCGTCATCAGGGCGATGAAGATTTCTGTCTTCTGAGTTGTTGCGCTGTGAAGTCTGGTCGATGTTTACCGTTTCAGAGGTCATGCTGCCTCCGTCATCAGGGCGATGAAGATTTCTGTCTTCTGAGTTGTTGCGCTGTGAAGTCTGGTCGATGTTTACCGTTTCAGAGGTCATGCTGCCTCCGTCATCAGGGCGATGAAGATTTCTGTCTTCTGAGTTGTTGCGATGTGTAGTCCGGTCGATGTTAACCAACGTTTCCGAGGTCATACTGCCTCCGTCAACAGGGTGATATCTGTCGGTTAGTTAAAACATACCTGCAATTTCGCAAAGCTGAGAGTGTAGTTCTGTGGTAAGCAGAGGCTCTGGAAGATCTCGCAAGAACCGCTTCAGCACACTGGCAACATCATATTCATTGTACTCTTGTCGTGTGAGCTGGATGGCCCACGCGTCCTGCCGGAACAGTGTCAATAATCGGGTGACATTCGAATTGGCACCACTGCGACGATAAATCCCTTCAGACATACTACCTACACAAGATTGAATCACTCTGGTAAAGTTTGTTTATTTCTTAGTTTATTTAATGACATTTTCTCAGCTGCACATTTTATAAAGCATAAAACTGGATGATGATTGTAAATTATGGATTAAAGGATTGAAAAGATAAAAAAGGTGTTCTACTTTAAGGTGCTAACCCAATATTTGCTCAATGGAATGGGGGGGGGGACAGCCAGTATAGCCAATCTCCTGCCTCAGAAATGAAGCCAAAACCGACCAAACCCAAAGATTCAGTCCTAACCATTCAACTACGATATTTAATTTGTAAAATTTAGATTCAAGAGTTTTCGTGCAAATGCGTTATAACTGCAGGTGTAGACGGTACAACAGGAGAAGGAAAAATCTACATATCATAAATAATACAGCATCCGTTACTCCAGTTTAATTTTGCTATTAGACATGCCTATGTATCATCAAAAGTGTTTAAAAATTTTACAATAAAGGGCTATGTATTTTGTCAATGATTATAAAATGAGTTCACCTATAAGGACTCTAATGTGAAGAGAACAGAATAAAATTAATCCTCTGTTTTAAACTGCACTCAAATAGTTCTTAAACTTCAATAAAACGTAAAACCTACCATGTGCATATACAAAGTTTATGCACTTGTCTATAATGACTGGTATTTCTTCACGAGTCAGCTGCTGTTGGGCAAGATGGAGTCCGTTGTCAATCGCGGCAGCACGAATAACATTTTGCCATGCCATGGTCTCTTTCGTTACATCCATCTGCAAGTATAAAGCTTGTCCTGGGAAGTCTACCAAGATAAGTGGACCTTTCTCCGCCACACACAGTACTGCTGCTTCACGCTGGGAGTCTTGTAACACTGTAAAAATAATTAATCCAATTCCTTTATTATAGTATTTAACAACACTGATAAAGCACAGAATAAAACACTGCAAGGATAAAAACACATAAAAATGGAGAGAGAAAAATTGGTAAATAAATGTAAAACAAATTCAAATAAGTGAGATTTCACGAGTACGAAGATAGTGGTCTTTTGAACTACTGCACTGTGTAGTCTGGCAAACACGTACTGACGTTTCAGTGAATTCTACAGGGCTACATGGCGCGACAACCCAGAAGTCAGTCATCTTCAAATTAAAATATATTTTTTAAAAAATTAGCAATAATGGAGGCACCATGCTCCTGCCAGCAGCTGCTCCAAAGTCTGATTTCTCCATCGGAAGACAGCACGGCGATTTGAAAAACAGATTTTTCTTCACTGACTTAATAGCATGGTTCATTAGATGACATGGTACCTTTATGAACGAAAGGGTTAAATTCTTGCTTCAACTCAACATAGTGAACTGAAGTTCAACCATCCGACAATTTCACTTATACCACGGGTGCCTGGTATTAACAGATCAGACCTTGAAGATGGCAGTGATATATTCCTGTAAAACGTTGGTAACCACGTGCAAAACCGCACAACATCAGAAACCAGAAGCCTATAATTAACACTCCCCATGACAATCTCAAATCCCAGACACTTTTTTCAAGATATTTGAATGTTAAATGCTATTGACGATAAATTTCACTGTTTTACTGGAAAAGAAGGATTACACATACCGAGTGTAAAGATAAAACATGGCATTGTCCCTTGAACAACAAGCCACAAAGCACAGGTAAAGAGTGGAGGCAAACCTCCACTCATTCTGGACCGAAGCCGTGACGGAAATGACCAGTGAACTTGCTATTTCATACTCATGAAAAGAGGCCCATGATACCCACTGGACAAAAGCCTGTATAGGTCTCACAGACAGCGTTAAAATGGTGTCAAAGAGAAATATCCGTGCCCCTTCCAGGAATTAAATGCTAACCAACCAGCTCGTAGCTAATCAAAACTTCAAAATAATTCTGAGCGGAAACAGCGCACGGTTACTCACCTATGCACCTCGCTTTTCTGAGATCTGCCTCTTGCAATGTTCCATCTTGCAAACAATAAAAGAGTGTTCGCTTCTGGACCAAAATCCATCCAGATGTCCATGCTCCACTGATACCTTCCTGATACAAAGTAATAATACATATATTACAACATAAACTACGTTTATAATGACAGAAGTGTCAGGATGATCACAACGTAGCAACCGAACAAGAATACGTGCGCTGCTGCCAAGGTTCTAGACGTTTTTACTTAGGTTTTAATATCACCTCACTACCAGCAAATGTGTATATGCAGACGGAAGACAACATATTAGCATACCAATTTCATAGATCATGTCAGAACAATACATGTTCTTAGCTTTCAGCAAACAGCCACTTCGTACGCTGTAAATTATCCGATGTATCAGCAAATATTGCGGTGGCCCGCTCCGCTGCTCCACAAATCACCACCGTTAAAATCAACTCACGACTACTTGTCATTATATGAAGCTTCTAAAAATAGCCAATCAGTAGATTTTCACTCTAAAGATGGCGACTGCAATGTTTGCTGAAACAACGAATAATTTTCAAAATCCAATGAATCTCACCCCTGAAAGTCAAAGCTGTTCACATCCAGGATTACCATTATTTCAGCAAACATTCCATTAAGTTACCATGTAACACCACAATACAAATTGTGTAAAAGATCAATCACTACAATGAAAATTCAGGATCATACATTGAAAGACATTAATGTTATGCAAACAACCATGATGGGACGCCTCCCGTGGCATGACGCTCGTAAAAAATGTCACAAAAGAGCAATCAATTAGTGTCTATAATACTAATGACTACACTTCAATCTGATTAAAGACAACCACAGCTTGTTATCCAAAGGCTTATCATCATCAAAGTTTACCACTGGACTTTAGCACCCGTCTACTTAATCCAGCTTGCATCTTCACAATCTAGGTTTTCCTTAATTTAGCGATGCTTTTAGAGTAGCTCAGACTATATAGTGTCAAATGAGAGGACGATAGTGAATTGGAAATGAGGTGGAAGGAGGCGATCGTGGCCTAATTTAAGGTACTATCCCAACATCTGCCTGGAAGGTCTGAGGAAAACCATAACCTAGTTGTTTTCGATGCATTTTAGGTACAGAAAGAGACAAAATCATAGCTCTTGAAGACCGTACCAAGTCACACTACAACGTGTCTTAAGTTTCAACTTAAATCACACCTTTAGTTTAAAACAGTTTCTTCTTCTTATTGCGCCATCTCCGAACGAAGGTTGGCGATACACATGGCGAACACTGTCCTCGAGACTGCCGCTCGAAAGATGTCTATTGAGGTGCATCTGAACTATCTTCTTAGGTCTTTCATCCAGGAGTTTTGGGGTCTACCGACGGATCTTTTTCCTTGGATTTTGCCCTCGACGATCAGTCTTAAGATCTCATGGTGTACTCCTCCCGTGATACGGCCCATATGACCTTTCTTTCCTTAATAGCAAGCAGTAGTTCCTTGAGAACTTCGATGTTAGAGACTTTTTACACCCGGGGTATTCGTAGTATACGTCGATATAAATACATTTCGAATGCCTCGATTCTTTTCTCCATGGGAGAATCAAGAGTCCAGCTCTTGCATCCACGGAGAATTGTAGAAAACACATGACATCTCAGCATTCGAAACCTCAGTTCTAGACTTGGTTCAAATCTAACAAAAAACCTCCTCATGTCAACGAACATTTTTCCGGCTTGTTTGATTCTTGATCTTATTTCTTTTTTGATGTCACAGTTCTGGTTCTCTATGGTGCCTAGATATTTAAGAGAAGTCAGTTGTTCGACAATGTTGTCACTGATTCTTTTGGCTATATTTCTCGGTAATTTTGTGAACACCATTGCTTTGGTCTTGGATGTGTTCATACATAAACCAAACCTTTCACTGTATTTCACAACGCTGTCAACCAGTTTAACTCTAATTATAATAAAGAATCTTTACCAAAACACACTGTGGCGCTGTTTATATGAAAATTTGGAGACTGACTCTCTTTTAATACAGTGTAAAGCTGTAGTAGAATGAAATAAACTTCCAAAAGGAATCAGAATATGGGTGACAGTTTTTTATAAAGTCTCGTAACCCCAAAAGAAAGTCTGTGTTGTGATGGAAAGCAGCGTCGAATTATAGGAAATTCACACAGAAAAGTGTTCTGCTGATACCTTCCTGATATAAAATACATATAATACAATACAAGACAATTTTATAATGACACCGTCAACATTAACTTATAGTCTTGCCGTCATACGAGTAGCAGCCTTCTCTTAACAGTGGCTACAAGCAACACGTAACATCGCTGCGAGTAAATTTGTTAATAATGGTTTTTCACTAAACCTTTATGTAGCACCAGCCAGATCCCGTGTAGTCCGTCATGAGACGAAGAGGAAAGGCTATTGTGAGGCTCTCCAAAATCTTCTGCATCCAGATACGCCGTTCCGTTGATCCAGAGACCCCAAATAAATAACTACCCTTCCACGCCACGTTCAGCTTGAAGAAGTGCAAGTCTTCACCTTCTAGACTGATAAAAATAAAATAAAAATTGTAAACGTGGCAACCGCTTAAACAGTAAACAAAATATAGGAAATAAAAGTAGAATGAAACACGGTAAAACAGACACAAACATGCTGAAAACAAAATCACAAAATTTCTCCCACACCCCAATGGGGCAGTATAAAAAAATTACATATCCTCTGGTTAGATCAAAACCTTTACTGTCATCCATTGCATAGAGCAGAGGTTCCCATAGTGTGGGTCGCGCCCCCTTTGAGGGGGGGCGAGTGGTTTTCTGGGGGGGGGGCGGTGTTGTTTGTATGAAAACTTTTTTTTATCAAAATATGAATAAACATTTTTTGGTGTGGCAGTTTAGTTGTCTTACAGTGCTGTAGAATTCAGACCGTATATTTTATTACAGTTTTTAAAATTAAATTCATAGAATAATATATACTAATTTATAAAATAAATGTATACTCATAGCTAAATTTTATGTCAAATCTATTTGCTTGCACTTGTTCTGGAAGGGGGGTGGGGGCGCACGATATAAAAGTTTGGGAACCTCTGGCATAGAGCATGTATCATTAAATCGCAGGGTAATTCTGTAGTGGTGTAAAAATGTGGAGTTAAGTTATTGAATTTTACTTTTCTGGAGAAGAGCAGTATTGTCGCATTTTAAATGTTTAAATATGTATGTGGGAGGTCAGTGACAGAATAACTATGGATCTAGGGATACAAACTACAGTGGTAAAAACCCATTTTTTTTAAATTAGTGTTTGGAAATGAACACAGCAGCCATTTTCATGAATACATCAATGCCAAATTCCCCCCGTTTCATGAACTACAAGATGAAAGTGTTCAAAGCTTCCATGTAAAATTGGGGCTAACTATTCCAATTTCCAACATACATAACCTAAATTTCGTTAAAAAATGAATGAATAAATATATTTACGTATACTAAGAATGCATGAATAGGGTAAAATGTAGTTTGATAAGGGAATAAGCTTTCCTTCATTAACTTGTCTCCAGACTCAATGAAAGTGCAACATGTTATATCAGCTTCCAAGAAAAGAACAGTACTGCAGTACTGAATCAGTTCGTAATTTACGAGTCTCTATACACGGAATGTTAAAATTAATGAACTGGTGAAATGGTAGTAATAGGAAAAACCCACAATTCAGTTGCTTTGGATGTCTGGTTAGGTTAGGTGCCGCGGTGTTCTGTGATAATGGGCGAAAAACAACAGCTAATTTGTCTTAATTTTTTTTATCCAATGACTCAGTCACGATAGATAATTATGTATATTTCCCTCGAAGCATCCAGTGTGAGATCTTTGTCTTTGTATGTTTCCAAAGTCCTATCCTGCAGTACTGACATCTATTCAGCAAATTATATGAAATATACGGATGTCAGGGCTTAGACAACCCGAGAAATGCATGATGAAACCTCATGCGACGTTCAATGTGGTCATAGCTTCGGGGTGTGGCAAGAATTGGTGCAATTTTGTGTTAATTGTAATTTTGGACTTTGCTCATCGTCTGAATTATACGTTTGGCCCAATATGCTTCTGACGTGCGTGTTTTCCCGAATAACCAATTTTCACTCAGGATTTTACGACAATGACCTCTCATCTGGACTGGTCTGATCACGAGTAACAACTGTCGTGGACTATGTTAAAGAACAGGTTTGCAAGTTCGCATGCACTCTGCTGCTAAGTTAAAAAGTGAAATTCACAACATCAGTAATGCACTGGCGATGAATGCAATAACGCGTTGCTAATGACGGTAACCATGCCGACTAATTAGACCAGTCCCAAAGTCCGATAAAAGAACATAAAGGAACTGAAATGAAAGTAATAAAAATTGTACCATATTTCTATCTGCTGCCAGATGAACTCCAGTTTAAAAAAAATTAAATCCGTCAATGATGATAAAGTTCGACCATTGTTTGTTAACTGATTATGCTGCAATCAGGAGAGTGGAACGCCGATACGACCGAGATAAACGCTTAGAGATGCGTAATGTTCGAATATGGCATGCCTCAATTCCACAACGTGTGCATTCAGGCCAGTGTCATGTTCCTTTGTAATTGAAATGTCCCATACATGTGTTTCGCCTTCTACATCATCAGATCTTGACTTTTGGTCATCCCTGTATAATCTTCCCCTTGTCACAGAGTTGAGTCACTTCATGGTAACTGAGTCATTGAATGTTTATTATCTCGGGAAAACAAAACAGAAACAAGTATGTGAAGTAGGAATCAGCAACAGACCCAAAAGAGTCATTAAACACTTCAACTGTCTAAAACGTTAACAAAAATAGACAAAATCCTAACTACATATGTGTATTTAAGAAAATAATGTCACTGACCTTGAACAACAATGAATGAGAGACTGAAGAATGGTAAGGAATAATGGGTTGTTACGTGTGCAAGAATAATAGATAATGGCTTGCTTAGGTGGCTCTGTAACACTCTGCTTTGAAGTATAATAAATTCATGCATGAATTACGATACTACAAGGATTTCACATCAAATAGTGACAAGACATTTGACAGCATTAAAATAGTGATAAGGCTGAAATCACACACAAACATCCATCATTGCATTTTAATATTTACTTTGAAGCAGCACTTATGCAACTTCTAGGCCTTATCTCCTATAATGATACTTCAAATTAAATCAAGAACAAGAACAATGAAACAAGAAATAAATACACAATTTTAAGTGCATAACCTCAAAGGAAGAAACCACTTACAAGAAACAAGCACAGAGAGGAGCAGTACTCCAAAAATAAGTCTGACATTTGCTACTGGCAAGTTAATAAAGACTAGTGAAGTTCCTGGCACCAACATTCTGATGTATTTGCACATCATTTACTGACAGATGTCTACTGTTTTATTAGCAAAGTTAAATATTTCACTATTGTATTTGAAAATTCTGTAATATATTTCTCCGATAAATATTAATTCAATGACACTGGATTCAGTTACGCAGTTTAATGAAAAAGAATTTATTCAAAGTCTACAAGGGGTCTAGAGAAGTATGATTCATCGTGTTATTGAATTAATCATCCCATAAAACTGAGTGACTAAACAAAACCACATAAACCACAAGCACGTGCATCATTTCCTACCCAATTGCTTCCTTCACATAAAATTCCCCTGACAAACAATGGAATATACAACAATAAAGTTACGAAATTTTAAATTAACTGTACACAAGATAGCCATCTTCTGGGTTGTTGTGCCGTGTAGTCTGGTAGAAGTTTACTGACGTTTAAGAGGTCCTTGCTGCCTCCATCATCAGAGTGATGAGTGATTTTACTCCCTTACTCATCACTCTGACACTTCATGGATACCATAAAAAATAATCTGTCACTCCGTAAAAATGACTATAGCTAAATGTCAATAAATAAACACTAATTACTTCAAACATAATCAAGCCACCAGTTGGCCACTGTTTTGTAACATTTAAAAACGAGCTAGGGCGGCTTAAAAGTCAGGTTACTAGCAACAAAGTATCTCGGTATTTCAAAACGTTCAATTACTCATGCACTTCGAACAAGTTCATACAATATGATTACTCACCCAGCCTTATGCTCTGGTACAAAATGAATGCTGAGAAGTCTGTCTAATGGAATGACCTCACTTATGCTTGTGCCAGTCTTGTCTGAAAAATAAGAAAACTTTCCTCCTGCCAAAACACAATTACGTGCCACAAAATCCTTGCTGCCAGAAGCTGAACGATACAGCAAGCCACTGTGATGGATGGCCGCATGAGACGCCAAATTTGGGCGTTTGACAAGTGCAGATGCTTCGCCCTGTCCTCCGTACAAGGCAGTATTCGGAGTATCAGGTTTAGCTTCTGCTCCAACTTGTTCTTTTGTGATTTTCCTAAAAGATGATCCCTCTGCTATCTGCTGAATAGCTCGCTTCATGCTTGCCCAACGAACTAATGCTGCCTTACGGTTCCTTCCTAGCACACCAACACTGACATCATTATTGCCAACACTGGCATTGACATCATTACTGTCACCCGTAAATCCTGATTCTGCCGTCTCCGCAGATGATTTTTGAGAATTTACATCACTATCAGACAATGGAACAACTTCGGGGGCATTTTCATTTCCATGTTCAACAATTACAGAACTTCCTTCAGTGGGTATTACTGTTATTGAATCATATCTCCTTGGTGGAACTGGGGGACACACAAAATCTACATTCTCTTCTGTCTTATGTTCTTGCACTTTAAAATTAACCACTCTCTTAATTCTACCATATGAGGAATCCAATTCACACACATCAGGTAGTAACAAGAAATCTGTGTAATTGTCATTTGTTTCTCCAGAACCATAAGCATTTTCATACAGAGGATCAAATTCTAGTATAACGGATTTAGTCAAAACTTTACGGTTTTCCTCTACCCTTTTTACAGGTGTACTAGTCTCCCAATTTTCATAGAGATCATTATGAATATTTACTGACCGCTGACGACCTAACTGCATATCAGAGTTAGCAAATGGATCACCTTCAGATATTTCATCACTGTTGTCACAGTTCAGATCCCCTGGAAGTGATGAAGAAGTACTCTCACTCCCACTCACTTTGCTGCTACAGTGTCTATTATATAGCAACGAATCAGAATCATTGAAACTTGAGATGTCAGAAAGGGCCACATTCTGGAAAATGTCCTTCTCTGCATCAGTATCACAGAAACTCCATGAATCTGATCTCATAAAAAATTTGTGCTGACTTTCAAAAGGTGAACCACTGATTTCCAAAACATTTTCTTTGGTTTCCTTTTGTGATGGATCAGGAAACAAATGCCCACTGTTTTCCTTTATTGATGATATGTCTTCATAAAGCGTCTCACAGTTTGCAATGTTTGAATCACAATATGGTTCATAACTACTAGAATGACTTGAGACTACAGAATGCACTTCATCATACACTGATTCGTCAGGTAAAGGTGGAGGAGGATACACCGGTGGTGGTGCCCCAGAAGTTGGAACACATTCTTCCATTGTACCCTCGCTCAGTACCAACTCTTGAGCATTCTCCACAGAAAGTGGTGAGTGGAAAGAAATGGACTGAAATATGTCTCCTGATGGAAGCGACTGACTTCGGCCACTTTTAATAACTGAATTGTCATTTACTTTATTTGGGGCTGCTGCACGGACTGTCAAACGTCTAGAAATCATATTACGAACAGACTTCTCAATAGAAGCACTAACATTTTTCGTCCTTCCTATTACAGTTTTTCCTTTAGAATGATCATCACACTCAATTTCCCACTCTTGTTTTGCATACTGTGAAGGCATCCTTTTATTGCACTGTGTTCTATCACTGTTTTCACTGACGTGACCCGTAATGCTGAGTGTCTGTCTTTCGCTTACAACTGAATCTTCACTGTTCATCTCTCTAGGTCTGCAATTCGGTTCATTAAATATCTTTAGACGTGGTAGTGGAACTGGCTTTTTGGAACTAGTTCTTGGCATTTTACACTCTGAATGTTTCTGCTGCGAAGGACTTCCTCTAGGCTTAGGAACTGGCGGTACGGTATCCATTCTGATCACATCTCACAATTATTAACTGCGTCTCTCTTATCATCAGTCTGCGTTACCAGCTGACAAAGCAGAAGATGAGTCATATTTCTCTCACTTGTACTTACTTTAAAAAAACAGCACATTCATATGGCCTGAGTTTTATATCTTATTCTCTCAACAATCACGAATCCACATTTTAACTGCACAAAAAACCCAAACATTTCATGCAGCAGTAAAGAGAACCTGTTGATTGTTTCACCTTCTCACCTCTGACACATTACACAACACGCACAGTTGGCTACAGAACAAAACACATCTCACGCCATTGCCTTTAGCTCGCTGGAAACCACAGATTATCAACAGACGACGGTTGAACAAAGTACAATGTGCTGCCATCGTTTTGTAGAAGTTGAATACTATATGGACGTCGGTAGCATAGCATAGTCGGTAATCAGTTTCAACTACTTTTCCCCCGTCCCCCTTCATCCAACTCTTTATTTATAGTATACAAATTAATAATTGTGGCAGTATCTAGAGAGACTCATGTCCAATGGATACCAATCAATACCAGATGTAAATTAAATTCATCATGTAGTTTCAAGGATTAAATATATGAATGGACAAACACAATTCACTTATGCATTAATGTACACTCTTTGTGCAAATGAAATACAAAAACTGCTTCAGACCTTGACGGTCATTTTCCTGTTCTTTATAGGAAACATACAAAACAAAACTTTAACTTGTAAATGGAGAGAAGTCTGTAAGGCAGGAATATCCTTTCCGTTGCTTCTCCACTATTAAAAACTATCTTCCACTGCACAGTTTCACATGTTCAGAACGACTTACCACAGGCCCCTATTCTATACCATAAGAATCCAAACCACACCATACATATTTAACATCCATTTTAATGTTATCCTCCTTGGTCTTCCAAGTGGTCTCTTACCTTCAGGTTTCCGACTATAATTTTACAAGCATCTCTCATCTGCCTATATAAGTTGCATGCCACTTAATATAATAATATTTAATTCCTGCCTCCCTATATTATCCCTCTGATTGCCTGCATTGCCACTTCAGCCCTGAAGATGTAGGCAGTAGGCTTCTCCCAAACGTTGGCATCTAGCAACCAGAACCCAGAAGAACGTATCGTCAGATCTACTTCGTCTGGTTATCGCGATAGGGAATCGAGCTGAATACCTTCCAAATACGAAAACGTTTCCTACACTATATCGTGACTCCCGTTAGTGGTCCCTACCCAGACCCATTCCGCGCCTTTATATCCCGTTTTCTTGAAATTTTAATATTATACTACCATCTACGCCTAGGTCTCCCAAGTTACCCTTCTTTTCAGGCTTTCAGATCAAGATTTTGTTTTCCTGATGATCATACAGACTGTTTACTCATAATTCTTGTAATATAAAATACGAAAAACCAAAACTAAGATAAAATAGTAAATAAATAAGAAAGTTCGAAGCAATTCAGTTTATTTGATTCGTATTTGTTATACATATAATTAGGATTAATTATGAGGCAACAGTAAATTGTCTGTTTATTTGTCGTTCGATCTGAATGCAATTTTGGGAAAAGAACGCATCATGCAAAAAGTAACTGACCACTCAACTACACCTAGTACCGAGGTTTAAGAATGCGTGGCGCTGTATATCCAGTCCTGCAAACGTTTAAATGAGTTGTGCTTCATTGAGCTAAGTTTTGCTTTCATCCTTTATGCTTCACCTTACTGTCCATTCGCTTTCCACACGTGCGGAGGGTCAGTAGATTCGTGAACAGGGGCAAGTAAGCTTTTTCTTAAGTCATAACCTGGAAAAAAAACCAATGAACTTGGGTGTAACTGAAAGGAAACAATTGACGAACGTTATCGTGACAAGTTCTTCGCTTTGTTACTGATAAGGGGGTTGGTCTTCTTTCCTGCAGTGGCCAGAACCTGATTTCTTCAGGGGCCAACAGACACATCGACAAGATGTTTTCTTTTTCTTTTTCTTTTCTGTTTCGTCACCGCTGTTGTCATGACCACGAAGTTCTGTTTCCTATGAAGGCAGAGTGGCGTGCGGTGGGTTAACTTTCATTTGTCTTCTGTTGGCTGATTGTAGCGTCAGTTCATTCGGTGACCGCTCAAGTTTCAGAACGGAGTGCGCAGCGTTTGTGAAGACGTGTTTTCACGGCAATCAGCTGGAACCAGACGCCCCACCAGGTTCGAACATAATTTATATAACGTAATTAACAAGAAATGCAATGTTGAAAACAACTTCAGGATTCAAATTCTGTTTTGATTAAATGTCTTTCCCCTTCGTTTCATCTGATAAACCACAAAAAGTATTACAGATTTTAATTTGTTTTGTAGGTGACGCTCGGTTTTAAGGGACGTACTGAATCGCTCGGACATTTTCGTACAAGGAATCTCACCAAACGTCTAAAAGTATTCATATTGTACGTAAGAACTAATTTTGAATTCCAACCGGTTAGAAATCCGTTACAGATGCAGATTTATTTGTTGAACAGAAACGCATTTTATTACACCTATACTGAGCATTGTTTATAATCGTAAGTTGGCCAATATAATAAATCAAATATACCTCCGAGAGTTGGCAATCCCCAACATCGCGATATAATAACTAAAATATTGCTACAGTCATTTTTTTTAAAATCGTTTGATAACAACTATATTATTTGTTTCAACTGAGGACATGACCATGTTAAAATGTCCCTAGAGAAATAACATAGAAAACTATGGAAGACTTAACCTAAATTTTCAAAATCAGAACTTATAAATGAACAGATTGAACGCTTTTAACTTATCCAACCTGGCGAGTTTGAGTAACTGTATGAGTCATTATTTAGTGTGGTTGTAAGATGTGGTATATTTTCCATTAGATACAAGTTAATTAAGATATACTTAAAACATAGTTAAGAGGATATAGAGACCCCGACGGACAAATGGTAGCGAGCAAAATCTATGGAAGGATACATGTGATTTATCGTGGTTTATAAAAAAAATTATGATTCTTTATATCAAATCTAAAACTTCTTGACGATGGTGAAGAGTCA